ATTTACATTTCATCTTTGTGGTTTGTTGTTTTAAAGTTAGAAAAATATTAAAACACCTTTTTAAAAAAAGCATATTTATTTTTGAAATAAAACAAGACGTATAGTTAAAAGACGCTCATGACCCTGCATGAACTGGTAGGTATATAGTTACTTGTTTAAAATAATAACAGCAAGACATAACATGCATGGACATGTTTTCGCGCCTTACTATATAAAGAGTCATCTAAGCGCAATTGTGTTATTATTGCAAATGCGTCGGTGCCGATGAAGTAAGTTTACAAATTTTGAAAATATTTAACAGTTTAGTTCGGGATAGTGACTTTTGTGTGTTTTGTCAATTTCTAAAGGTAAGTATTTCTGCAAATACCTGTATTAAGTGGTAAAGAATTATTTTCAAAAATATTTTCCACAATACGTACTTATACATTTTTAAATAGTTTCTGTTTGTTGTAACGGATTTTTATTAATTTATTTGGGGTTTTCGCCGCGAAAAAAGAGAAACAAAAATCCATCATAAAAATTCAAGCATTTTAGGTAGGTATCTATTTTAAATATTTAGTTTTTAAATGTTCGTTGTGGTGGTTCGCAATTTGTCCATTTTGTTGGGATCCACCACACCTAAAAAAATCTTTCAAAAAAATCCTACTAATTAATAAATTAGAATTTTGTGTAGTAATAAGATAAAAGAAGAAAAATCTTCAAATACGATTAGTCGGTGACGGTGGCTTAGTCTGTCCCACAACTAAAAAAAAATGAAATGCCTAGTTTTAATTACTAAAAGTATTAACTATTTTTTCCAAAAGGGGGGTTGAAAATTAGCCCGAAACGTTAAGAAATTCGTTTTTATATTTAAAAACAGTTTAAGTATATAATTAAAACTAGGCATTTTATTGTTCAAAACTGTGAGACAGACTAAGTCACTGACTAATTGGATTTGAAGATTTTTCCAATTTTTATTTTTAGCAACTTATTTTAACTAGCGTATTTTGCATTGTTTAATTTGTTGTTTTAGAATGTCTGACGCGCAAAGAAAATTGTCCGGCCATCAGTACAAAAAGCGAAGGCTAGAGAAGGAAACCCAAAAGCAAAAACAAGCTGGTGCTCTGCACAATTATTTACAGTGTAGGTCCGGTAGTACCATTAGTACCAAAACGAATATCTCCAAAAATTCAGATAAAAAGGAAAACCGGAATCATCAGAGAGAGTGTTGGTGACCAAGACCAATCAATACAAGTTATTTCTAAAAAAAACTCTGTCACCAAATGAAAGCAGCCTCCCAACCGACACCGCCTTGGTACTTACAGAAGGCACCTTGGGCTAGCACTGGTAGTACTCTACCTCTACAAACTGACCCTACCCTACCACCAACGGAATGCACTATACAACTTTAGGTACAGATCCAGCATTGTGACCCAGAATTTTAGGAGATGCCGAAAGAAGTTTTTTAGTATGACAAGGTTCACCTAAACTATTGTTAAATTACAAATTTCCTTATGATGGCACTGGTCTAAAATTTAGCGCAAATTACTATTAGAACTCTGTGAATATACTATAATCTAGTCTAGTGGAATGACTGAAGCCTGCACTCTGCCCTAAAATGACTGTCGACTGTCTACACGATACGCGAGATTTTCCGAATACCGAATATAAAGGCGACGTTCGGTGTTGTCTAAGCTAGTGAGAACTGAAACTGGCGAAAAAAAAAAACACATAAATTGATATAATTTCAATTATCCTGTTCTCTGAAACCATCAATGTTTATTACGTTGGGGTTTACTAGTTTTTAGTTACTTTGGATCCTTTGAATGATCTATGTTCACAAAGCTAAAAGCAGAAACACGTGTCGGTAGATGTTTTAAAGTTTTTAAAGTGATTGGTTCAACTGGTGCACCTTTTGTTTTATTTATTTTTTGTTTTACTGAACAGAATAGTTACTGAACATAATGTGCATATTATCTTTTTTGTAATCCAAGTTTCAGCATTTTGTCAAATTGCCGGAAAAATAATTGTTTAAAAGTATATATGTTGTACTTATCAATGATAAGTTTTGTAAAAGTAGTAAATAATAATTAGCAAAAAAAATGTTTTTCAGGGTTATTATTTTTCATTTTACTCTGCATTTTAAACTTTTACCGAGAAGAGGATACCTAATTTATTTTTAAATTATTCTACCCTACGCACAGTGGACGGAAACGCCGAAAAGCTGGCCAAAATATAAAGGCATTGAGCTATTTTACTGAAATTGTGCATACAGGGGTTTTTTGTGTCGCTGATCAAGAATCCGAAGTTGAATTTTGAAAAAACAAAATGGTGGCCATGAAATCCCCCCCACAACATGCCAAAAATCGCCAATTATTGCTGCATTTTTACAAAACTTTGTATACAGTTTTTTTGGGTCGCTGATGAAGAATCCCATATAGAATTTCAAAAAAAATTACGGTCAAAAATATATACATAGTTCAAAAATTATTATTAAATTGAAGCGAATTCATGTGTTTTATTTGTTTCGGGAAAATTAGGATCTGGGGAATGGAATAAAAATGTGTAATGACTTTGAAAATTAATTTTCAATTACTATCTGAATTACATTCATCATCCTCTTCGTCGTTTTCACTATGTAATACACAATTTGTATCGACTTCCGCAACGGAGAGTGGATCAAGCAATTCTATCGCATCAGAAGACAATGAATGCAATTTTTTCTCTAGGGAGTTTTCGCAAACTAGAAATAATTGGATCTGAAGTTATTAAAAGCCTGCGAAAAGCGTCCTCTACGTTTTTTTGTCGGTCACATTTCCTTGCAAAATTTTCTCGAAATTTTTTAATATCCTTATTGCAAGACTCTTGTGCTTCTTCTGACATTTGACCAATCGGAAGCATCAAGGAGTTAATAATTTGATGGCCATAAATTAGAATTTTATGCACAGTAGTTGGCATGCAAAATCATGGGTAAGTGTCGACAAATTTCCGTGCGGTTTCTGCATTCAAAAGGAGCCCACTTTACGGTGCACGAATGTGCATGCATCCGTGCATTCGCGCACAATTTGGTCAATATCTCGCAAAGATGCAAATAGATGCAGCTAATTTCTTATACACTTTCGAAAAAAATGTTCATTGAACACATTCCAATAAGTTTCAAGACCAACCATCACCAACCGCGTAACTTATGGCTTTTTTTGTGGAGTTTATGAATCGTTGCATGTACAAAAATTTACTCCACCGATAATTATTTACTAATTACCATATAAATAAACTGATCTGATACTGAGATATTTTAATTGTACTTACTTTCTGATGCAGAATCCATTTTTATGACACAGAAAACTGCACTTTGAGAATTTTTACGCTGCAGACAAAATTTATCGATTTTTGAAGCGTTGCGAGCTGCCGAAGTGACGCGCTGCACGGTCGCACAATAAGTAATTTCCTCGCTCAGGTAGTGAACCCGGACCGGTATTAACGGTCGTTTCTAATGCCAGGGGTACCTCTACAACGATTTAAGACGTTTCCATTTCAAAAAAAAAATCTTAATTTTTTTTAATTTTGGCCAGCTTTTTGGCGTTTCCGTCCACTGTGCTACGGGGAATTGTCACTATATAATTTCAATTATCCTGTTTTCTGAAACCGTCAATGTTTATTACATTGGGGTTTACTAGTTTTTAGTTACTTTGGATCCTTTTAATGAGCTATCTTGACAAAGCTAAAAGCAGAAACACGTGTCGGTAGACGTTTTAAAATTTTTAAAGTGATTGTTCAACTGGTGAGTACCTTTTGTTTTATTTATTTTTGGTTTTACTGAACAGAATAGTTGGAATTAAAAATAATATATTGATTCAAGTCACACTGAACATAATGTGCATATTATCTTTTTTGTAATCCAAGTTTCAGCGTTTTGGCAAATAGCCGGGAAAATAATTGTTTAAAAGGATATATGTTGTACTTATTTATGATAAGTTTTGTAAAAGTAGTAGATAATAATTAGCAAAAAAATATTTTTCAGCGTTATTACTTTTCATTTCCCTCTAAATTGCAGCGGTATTATCGAATGCACTATATATGTGTTATTATACTTTGCGCCACTGTCTTACCTTTGTAACACACAAAATCTCGCGCGAATATGAAACCTCATCCCAGTAAACACCAAAGTATGAGCCTTTACTTGGCTTTTACAGAGCCTTTACTGAAAAAGCTGACCGACCAAAGGTCCAGTAAAGGTCCATATTTTGGTGTTTACTCGGATGTAAGCCGGCGATAAACTAATACTGCAAATTTATAACATACCGATTCTTACGTGAGGTGATTACGCGGCGAAGTCGCTTTTCAGTTGCAGCGTATATCGACTCTGTCTCAGTCAGAAACTTATCAGCGTTTGTTGTGAAGCAGCGAAGGTCCGCAACAGATTTGCGGCATGGACGAGTAGCGCCACATCGTATCGTCATCGCTAATATGTCGCCGATCTATATGATATTCAGATTGTCTGGGATACGTTAAAATCAAGACACTGTATTGTCATTTTCACAGCAATGTTTAGGGAATAAATGAAAATGTTACTGTTATTCAATATATTATTAATATTTTTTTTATTTCAAAGAACATTTGAATTAAGTATTCCCTTTGTTTTAACCGTTACCATAATTTCAATTGCTTCATAATTAATTAGTAGGTATAATATTTTTTAAGTAGGCGTGTTCCACAATTTGAATGAGTAAGGTAAAATCAAATTATACTCCTATTGACTGTATTGATAAGTGAATATGAGGAAAAGTTTAATATTTTTATATTAATGCTATCTTGAGAAACATATCTAATCTACCTGTTACTGTTACTTTTTGCTTACCCCTGGTATTATCAACATTTTAAAGAGACCTTTAACTTAAAGGGAGTTTTGGTGACAAGAAAATGTATTAAAAACAATATATAAATATCAGATAGCAATCATATAGTTTAAATAAAAATTAGGTTTAATGGCTATTGGAGTTATATCTTAATTTATCGAGTGTGGCATCGTGGTCGAGTGGTAAGGTCACTTGCCTGTCATCCTGCAATTCCGGGTTCAATCCCCGGTCGAGGAGGTAGGATTATTTCTGAACAAAAATTAAACCTAGCATACTCGGAGATTGGGTGTGTGTCCATTGTTTTTAAATGTGTAGCCCTCACGTTTAATGTTTGAATCCCATCTAAAGATACTACCTTTCGCTTCATTTCCTTTTGAAATAACATATCCTATAAAAATTTTACTCTTTATGTAAGTAAAAAATATTCGTTGGAGCAGGAGTGGAGCAGATTAACTGGAAGTGTGAAAGGATTAAGAGAGCAAGGGTTAATGGAGAACAGTAACAAAATTATAAGGAAAACACAATAGAATCCAAAACTATGATGAGACTGTGGAAGTAATATATCAGATTTTCATAATAAAGAACTCGGTAAAGAAGAAGAACAACTATTTTTTTTTGTTATGTTTTGTATTTGTTTCTGATAAATAAATGCGAATAACTAATATATTTTTGTATCCATAGATAAACGACACAAGTCCAAAATTTGTTAGCACTTAAAAAAAATTTATAGTATCCAGCCAACCAGTTTGAATCAGTTACATCACAGACTCAGATATTTAAGAGAACCTTGTTTTATCACACTGTTCTATCCTCTTTATATAGTTGCATCATTAATATTTATAAATTTACAACAAAATTATCAGATGTCATCATTATGTAACAGTAATATGTAATCTATCATCATTACGTATTTATAACATGAAAATGTTTTGTAAATATTTCGTAATCACGCGTACTTAGGGCATTAATTTATTGATGCATAAAACGATTTGTTACAAAACATGTTTTTTACAAGTTGAAAATCTGCGTATGAATGTATTAATTATAGAGCACCTATCATATATCGTACAGGTAATAATATTATATTTTATATATGTAATATTTCTTTGTTGTCACGATATAATTATTATGAAACGATTCTATATTAGTTTTAGATGTGTTATTACGATTAGTCACGTGTGACATTATAATCATGATCTGTGGGCCTTTTAAAAATAAATCAACTGAATTCAGAATTAAATTACTAATTATTGTTATGTTCGAAATCGATATAATTTAATAATAATGTTATATTATGAATACGATCTTTATTTAAATAGGTATGCAGAAATATCTGAGTGATACTCCTGTCATCAGTCAGTGGGGACGGGGAGTAAAAAGAGAATTCGCAGAAAAAGTCGCTAAAAATTTAAAGAAACAAAATTTTGATATTGCTTATAAAACGAATAATACCCTTGGTAAATTAATTAAAAACAATAAAGATAAAACTAATAAAGAAAATAAATCTGGAATCTATAAGCTAAAATGTGGTACCTGCCCGAAAGTATATATTGGACAAACCGGAAGATGCTTCAAGAAAAGAATATCAGAACACAAAAGAAGTTTTAGAAACAGAAGAGAAGATTCTACTTATGCAAATCATCTCCTAGAAGAAAACCATAGTTTTGATGAAAACTTCGAGATTTTGCACTCCGAAAATAAAGGATTAAAATTAACACTACTAGAATCCTTGGAAATCAATAAGCTAAAAGATTCAGAAATAATTCTAAATGACCAACTGGAAACAAACTCCTCACCATTATTGAACATGTTTTAGTATTGAAAAAAGTTTACTTTACATACACATATTTAATTATTTTTAAAATCTTTATACTTTCTAAATTCCTACAATTTGTTACGCTCTTTTATAGTCAATTTCAATGCACAAATATTATCAATAGACATTTTTAGGTTTTTAGTAAAAACTTGACCCTTATCCTTTGACAATTTACGAGCTTAAAAAGAACTATAGAACAATACATTTTTTTCCTTTATTATATATATATTTTATATTTTTAAATGTGAATGATCCGTTTATATTTAATATTTACAAGTTTATAATTTTTTTTTTTTATTTAATTTATTTAGGATGCAATTTTACTATGTCATCAAGCTTATTTATACACCCTACTCATAATTGTAATAGCTAGTCTCGTACTCACATCTGACGAAGCCACTGTGTTGGCGAAACAATTGTCATGTTTATATATATTTTGTAAATATATGAATATAAAAATTTTTGTGAAAATCTTAAAACGTGAAGTTTTATTCAGTTCAATGTTAAAATGGATTTTCATCAAGTAAGGGTCGAATCAATCAACTATTATTTAATCTAATTATTCTTATGACCAATATTTGAGATCTGATGTAATTTTTACAATAAGTTATAGTTTTACCATGGTAAAATTTTTTTAATATTAATAAAATAGAATAATATCAGTGGCGACTCAACTGGTGAAATTTAGATTACCATATCTTAGTACTGGAGTCTGGGTTCCTAGTGTTACTATATGGCATAAGTAGCAATACTAAATGAAGTAGTTTTGCAGAGAAAAATTGCAATTGAAATTTCCAAAAACTTTCCCAGATTATTTTGTACACAATTTGTAAAATATTTGCAAAACTTTTTTTTTTCAGAATCAGATGGAAATATATCGACAGTTTTCAAAATTCATCAAAAAATATTGCTTTTTTTATAGTTACAGTTTTTTTGAAATTTGCAGTAAAAATAAATTTAAAATGAAATTTTAAATTGGTGTAACTATGTAACGAATCATACATATTATGTTCAATACTATAGTTTCAGAAATTCCCGTTAGTCTTGTGCCACTGCGCACTTCCTGCCGCCATGTGATGATTCATGCAGATGTTCATTTCTAAAAGTTTCTGCAATTATCGTTTGGCATGTGCTGCCACGTACTTCCTGCCGCCATGAAATATGAGACGTCACCAAGGCCATAATTTTGGTATAAATAGAATCGCCATCGCCAAGGAAATGAATTCAGTTTTCTACTGAGAACTGTCTTCAACGCATTGAGCTGGGTAGTTGAGGAGTCGTAAGCGCGTTGAGCTTGATTCCATTTGGTTAGAATTCAGAATCCGACGACGACGCCGCTCGACCGAATGTCTGGTAGCATCTTGAAGTTTTTAGCGCGCTGAGCTAGAACCACCTGGTGTTGGTAACCATTTTACCATCTTGCACCGCCGTCACCAGTCTAGTAATTATTCATTGCCGTGAGTCTTCAGCGCGTTGAGCTAGAACCGCCGTTAGTAAATAATTGCTAAACCAACCACCGTCACCAGTCCCCTAATTATTTATTGCCGTGATTATCGAACTTACCGTCGTATCGAGTCCTGGATGTCAGCACGTGGAGCTAAAGTCCACCGTCGTCGTACCTTCTTCCCGTAAACTAATTGCACCGATGTATATAATATTTATTAACTGTACTCGATTTGGTTTAATTGTTAAAAAATCTGATTTCATGTTTATTTAACTTCATGTTTTTGACAAATGTTGCTTTAATGAATTAACCTCTGTTACGTATACTTTGGGCTTTCTATTTACAACTAACAGGAATCCTGGATTAATTCTTCAAACAAACATATTCCGACGCCCAAACATACTTTCTTACATATTTTGGGCGTCCGAACAGACACCATTACAACTATAAAAGGGAAATATTTTTGATGAAATTAGAAATCTGTATATTTTGCACCCGATTCTAAAAAAAAAATGTTTTATAAATATTTACAAATTGTCTAAAAAAATAATCTGAGGAGGCACACTTCTTGCAACTATTTTCGCAAATATATATCACAATTTTTTTCTTAGCAGGACTTCTTCATTTCGTCTTGACAGTTATACCTTAAAGTATCACTTGGGTCCTATGTTCCAATGCTAAGATATTACACTGTTTAATACTTTTATTGCTTGAATTGGGTTCTTATTTTGCAGCATTTCGATTTTTGCTAGAAAAAATTAAGAAATGTTTGAAGTTATATTAAATAAAACGTAGAAAATAACAAAATAAAGAGTTCACAGTACCTACCAATTTTTTTTTTTAAGTGAAGCCAGAAAATGTATTTGAATCGCTGATTATTAAAAGGTCAGTTTTTCTCATTGTGAGAAAAAAAATATTTAATAAGCCGCATTACTTGTGCCCTTTAAAAAAATCTTCCCAAACGCATCATGTAAAATATGTAAGAGTTAATGGGAGTACTATCTTAGTCAACCAGATTTTTTGCTCTTTCAAGTGGGAAACACGCGAACACTCAAAATCACAAAAATTGACTTCCTTTTAATAATAAGCAATTTAATTAATTAACTATTAGATTTCATTTTATTTCCATAAAACACTCTAAACAACCACCATGCTTTTATTAGAAACAGGTTAGAAACACAAGACATGAAAAAGAAATATAGCGCAAAATTTAAATTTTTCATTGCAGCCGGTGCAACCATAAAGACCCAACCGGGAAAAACCCATTTAGGGAATAAACACGCATGGAGTTTATTCCCTTGGCAAATCTCTAGTGCCTGATAAAAGTTTTATAGTTTTACTAAATAAATAATTCTTGTTATTAAATGAGGTATGTTTAATCAGCCGTTCTAAATTAATTTATACAATTAAAGTTGATTTCCTTTTACCACCAGTCTTAGGTAACCTAAGTTGTTTTACGGGATGTAAATAAAATAATTTCTTTTGATACAGCTTCTGTAACCGCAAACAACAACAAGGTTAACTAAGACTGGTGATAAATGTAGAGCAAATTTAATTTAGACTTTTGAAAGAGAAAGTCAGCTTCATCAACCCTACCTCCTTAAAGTATTTAGGTTATGAACCAATTTTGTGTTAGGCATACCTAATGTTGTCAATTTGTAAAGATGTGATAATCATAAAATAACTAGAATATTACCAGATACTTCAATTCAAACAATACTCCAATATCCAAAAACAACAAACTAAAGTAAAGCAAATATCTATATTTAAAAGTAGAAATTTTTCAAATCATGTTCGACATGCACTCAATTCGGGAACACAGGCAAAGGTCTCATTTTTTTGTGTAGTGTAGCAATTATTTTATAGTATACTGTGAAATAAATGAGCAAAGCTGCATAAAATAAATCTCAAATTACCGCCAAGTACTAACGAAATTTCGCTAAATATTCATCACAGTTTGTAGAATGGAACAGTATTCAA